TACGATATTTTGTCTTTACTCCCTTTTGGTTTTGATGTTTTGTGACATAGTTTAATCCCAGATAATGAACTCCAACTTAGAAGGTAATCTCAATTCTTGTAAGCTTTTGGGTAAGTAATAATCGGGTTTCCCACCATTTACCTGCCATGAAGATAATAGCCATACCTAGTCTGCTACTGCTAGGCAGATAGAGCTATATATTTACTTATTTAGGATCCTACCCTAGGTAAAGCTAAAAAGCACTTCTACCCCCATGAAAAATAATATGACAAATCTCAAGGTTGTTAATAACTAATCCCCTTCTTAACCGGAGTCCTTTTCTACTATTCACCCAAAGGAATTGCAGGTGTTTTGACTTTTGACTTCCCAGCCCTAATCCATCGATGAGATTTGATGATTCGAATCCTTTATTTTTTAAGATTTCACTTAAGAACCTTCAGTACAAAAACAATGAAATAGGAAAGCATTCAATCATATAACAATGGCATCACAATATATGAACACGATGTAAAAAGTGAAATACTCCTGATCATGATTAAACGGTTAAACAGTTACTGACTTGTTTTATTTTCTACAAAAATAAAATATTATAACTAGCGGTTATGATCATTTAATAACATTACAAAGTGGTTCTGACAACACGAAGGTGGTGATTTTAATAAATATATAACTGGGGGTAAAGAAGTGAAAATATTGATCAAGAAATCAAGAATGTTCTCATGGTGATCATTGGTGGCACATCCGACCAGATTGGGAGAAAGACAGGTGCAATGGGGTATTGCATATTGGTGGATTATACGCAATTCAAAGTTCAAAGGGTCAAGAAAAAACAGCATTCTATAGAAAGTAACTTTAAAACTTAAGCCGTGTTAATTGTAATTTCCATTCAGCTTCATACAGTCTATTAGCTTCTCCTAGTTTGTCTCACTATCTTGGCTTTGTGTGAAGAGAAAAAAAAAGTCACTGGTCTATCATAAACAAAAAACAAAACCTTCAATAACACTAATTAAGCTATCATTCATTAACCCTAAGAGAAGTTACATCCTATTATATTTGTCCTCATTATTCTTACTAGAAGACCATATGATCCAATATATCACCCCCTTATATTAGGGTTTGGACTTTGAACAATTGCCTTCTATTCAAACTACATGATTTTCTATCTTTTATTTTATTTTTTATTTTATATATAAGTAGAGGTGTAAGCAAATTAAGGCATGTAAGATGGCCAACAGGACAAGATGTAACGTAAACTACACGATCAGAAATATTATGCTGTTTGATTGCCTCTAGCCTTTTGAAAATGAACATTTGTTTGCTCGAGTCATAATCAGTCTCTCAGTAACACAAGAAAACCTTTCATGTAACGGGATATGTTCCCGATCTCTCACTCTCTTATTCATTACTTAATAAGTCAAATGGTGGGTATAGAATAGATACTGAAGGGATACATTGCTCCAATAGGAAAGTATTTTGTCATTGTCATTAACGTTGTTAGGTTAATTAAAAATTAAAGATTGAACTTCTATAGTATTAGATTATGATTGGGTGCTTAAATTTAATTAATTAACGTTTCATTTTTAATTACAACTTGATTATCTTCTTATGTTTTGGATCACAACATGTTGGATTCTTTAGGAACGTAGGTGACATACCGATGGTGAGGTGAAGTTGTGTTAGTCTTCTACTTCTACTTCTAGATGGACAAGAAAATGGAGCAAAGAAAACTGAAGCAATCATCCACACACGTGCATATGCTACTTGGTGTCAGATTTGACTGGTCAATCGGACAATTGTCAGCATCATTTTCTCACGTCTTATAACAGCCAAAAAATAAGCAAGTTTTTCAAGCAAAAATAAAAAAAATCAAATTGGCCTATAACAAGATAATAAGATAAAATAGGAAAAGAAACTATTGAATTAATTATTCACAGTGACATGGAGGAATTCATACAAAAGAAGTCATGGATTTGTTTGTGGAGAAGTAAGAAATGAAATGTGCATATAATCACCAATTACTTAATTACCATCTTTCATCTAAATTATGAGTAGGTGGACAATTTTTTTTGCGCAAATAGAAGAACTTAAGAATTCTTTTCCCTATCCTATAAACCTTACTCATAATCTTTTGCCTTCTCCCTATCTCCTATCTAAACCCATAATTCAAAACTCAAATAACCAAACCACAAAGTTTTGTGGCTTTATTGACTTGCATTTTTAAAATAAAATTATTATTATTAAGGAGAGAGGAGAGGGTTTGAAACTATTATAATAATTTATAAGATGACGGAATTTCCAACCTGAAATGCGTGGTGAAAATCTAACACCCTATTCACTAGGATACTAACTTGCATCTAATAGCATCCTTTAATTATATTTTTTTATAGAGCAAAAATATATTACGTTAGACAAAAGAGTTTATGATGCTTTCTTTTGGTAGAATAATTATTAAATGTTGACTTAAGAAACTTTAGATTACCTTGAAGCATTTGTTAATTTTCTCTAGCAATTAAGGTTAACTTTTCTCTAACAATTAAGGACATAGTACTCCATCTGAATAAGTTTGCAAGTTATGTAACAACAATTGAGCTATTTTAATGAGTAGTAAGGATAAATCTGCTACAAGTTTTGGAGAAAGTTAAAGTTTTGCCAGAGCCCTATGTATATGTCGAACAACCTTCTATTAAATGTTATTAATCTAATAACTCCATTAATTAGTTAATTAGAATATCTTGTTGTTCCCAAGACCAGTCCTTCCTTTCCATGTTTCAAGTGGCCAACAATTACCCATGGCTCCGGAGCATTCTTTATTGTGAGATTATGGTAGCCAATCTGGTTTATATCTACCAGCGCAACCTTTGTTCATATAAGCTCAACTGTGTAGTTCCAACCTGTAGTTTATAAATTAGACCTAAAAAAAAACTTCTAATATATAAATTGCCCTTTTATACATAATTGTTTAAACCAATTAGCTTCGCTCATATAAGCTATAAATTCGACCGCAAAAAAAAAAAAAAAAAAAACGAACTTGTAATATGAAAAATTGCCCTTTTATACATAATTGTTTAAACCAATTAGCTTCTCATTTTAGACAAACTTTGGGACTATAAATAAACAAAAAATCTTCAATTTCATCAACCTGAGTATTAATTAATTAACAATTTAATTCTTGCTGCATAAATGAAAGAACTAGCTTAACTTATGATTTCCAATAGATTAGTTGGGGTGTGGGGCCTCAGTTAGTGCACCATTAGTTGTGCAAATGTCTGAACATCGGTACTTAAGATGAGTTAATGACATTAGAGTACTTGCTGTCTCGACAAGTCGCGACCTGAAATGCTAGAAAGGACAAATTGTCCCTCTTCCTTTGACCTCCTAAAGTGTTTCTATTCCAGTGTCACTATCTTTTGTTTCATTCATTTGTAGAATATAATCTTCTTTTTCTATACCTTTATTACCTCCTTTAAACTTTGATTATCTGTACTTGATGAGTATTATTAGCCTCATAAGTACAGATTAACAGTGTATAATCCTTCATTAATCGACCACTGTGGGTCTAATGCGATTGTGCATTATTTAGTCAGTAATCTGTCCGTTGCTCCTATTTAAAAACTCAAGGACTCTTGCCTGGTTCCATAAACTAAATTAACAAGTGGAATTCAATAACAGATCAAGGGCTACAAAATGTTCTCTCTCTCTCTCTCTCTCTCTCTCTCTCTCTCTCGTATTTGAACTTTTCAGCCTTTGTCTATAGTTGGGGTAGATTGAGTTGTCACACATACAAGAATTATTAATGTAAAGATAATCAATTAGATGGACAAATATTCTCTATTGATATGTTATGTTGTAAAATTGTTAATATTTAAGATTAGTAAACTAGTATATACGTCGTGTTTTAAACACAGTTTACCAATATAATACGTCAGAGTAACAGTATTATCCTATAATTAAGTACTAAATAAAACGTAATTTATTTACACCCTACTTTTTAATTGTTATTTTGTGTTAGCTGCTTATCATTGTGAAGCAGGAGTAACATGGGGATGATCAGCTGGTTCATAGTAGAAGGATGAAATGTGTGACGATTTATCAATTGTTCAATGGAATCCCACATCCATTGCAAGCTTTTCTAGTTCATGCAGTGTAATATATAGTTTATGCCATTTGGACTGTCACTTACGTTATATAATTTTCAAATTTCTGCCATAAAATTGGTTTCATACATCTTATTTGGTCAGTATTAAAAGAAGTCAAAAGTACTAAACAATTATCAACCAAAATTGTCTACGTATATTTTGAGAGTTTTATCTGTTAATAAAAGGAAAAAACACTCAAAATGGCCTTGTAATTTTCATGAGTACTGTTATGTATATTTTAAAAGCACATCTGCCTATTGTAGCAGCTTAAGCCTTATCACATTTGTTCTAGTGAATGTACATAGTTACCCTTTTGCCTATGACATACTTATTTGGCAATATAGTTATATTCGATTACTGCTTGTTAGCAGCTCAGTGCTACAAGTGCTTTAACCATTAAATTTGATTTTCATTAGATCTTTTATTTCCAACTTCAATCATTCATTTCTTATATATATATACCACTTAATATTACATATCATTGAAGAAAAATTACAAATGAAGATACCATGGATTTGGTTTATGAAAGCTGATCATAAGTTCTTTAATTTGTCGTTTTACGGAATCTTACTTTCTTATTTGAATTTTGAGAGCATGAAAATTTAGTATTGACTGGTGAGAGACTACTAGGATAGAAAGAATAATAGTGAAGTGCTGTAGCCCATAAAGGAAACCTATTCAAATTAAGTATTCATTATAATATAATTAAAACTGGCCCCACTCAAACTCTGATATCTAAGCTCTGAAAGTATTTGTAAGCCTGGAGGAGTGATGCTATGCACATAGCAAAAACTAAGAGTTAAAGACATTTTAATTTAATCATAAACCGGATTAATTAAACTCTCTTAAAACGTACCAATTAGTATGACAGGTTCTGGTTCTCCTTGTGGTGCCTGCAAGTTCTTGAGAAGGAAATGCTTTAGCGGTTGCGTTTTTGCACCTTACTTCTGCCATGAACAAGGTGCTACCCACTTCGCAACCATCCATAAGGTCTTCGGGGCAAGCAATGTGTCGAAATTGCTCGCTCAACTCTCCGCCAGTGGCCGATGCAGAGCTGCGCTTACGATCTTATATGAAGCTCAAGCTAGGGTTCAAGATCCTATTTATGGCTGTGTTTCCCATATTTTTTCTCTCCAACTACAGGTTACTTTAATTAATTTACTAGTTAATCATTGGACTTATGTTCTCTAATTTAGCTTTTAATTCATTAATTTCAACAGATCATGATGATTAATCTTATATGTTGACTGCAGATTATTAGTTTAGAAGCACAACTAGCTTCAGTCAAGGAACAAACAGCTAGAGGCTATTCCAGCAATAATTTCCAAGGTTGGCTTCAGTCGGAAAATTCAAACACATTGATGCCACAAAGTGCGATTAACGAATCAATGACACCAATATATTCCGGAAACAAGAACCCCAACTCTTTCGGGGCTAACGAAAATTTCATGATTCCAGGAGTACTAAATGACATGTACGGAAGCTACGGAGAGTCTTATAATTCCATGTGTTCATTAGACATGCAAATGAGCAATATGTCATGGGGTTTTGATCAAGATCATGACTGACGAGAACTGATGAGCTTCACTTATCAGCAGTAGTCGCCGGAATATTATTATAATGCAACAAATGGGGAAGGTTTTGCACTTTTTATTGACACATACAAGCTAACTAGGAACCCTAGGAGTGCTAATACAGCAGTCACAAATATTTTTCAAAAAATGCAGTACGGTATTTTTCTCACCTACAATAATGTGATATAGCCGGTAGTGTCCTATCTGTAAGTCTCAAGAGATTTCCTGAGGTTTTCTGGGTCCAAAGATGTGCATGCATTTTCCAAATAATGACTGAGGGCCAAAACCGGTTTTGTTTTTTTTTATTATTTTTTGTTCTTTAGTTTCAGAAAGGATCCATATCAGTTTCTTGTTTTGGTGCTTCTAATTATGCCATCCTTATATCTCCATCTGCTTTCACGTTGTATTTAATTAGTAGTTAATATCAATGATCATTCCAAATAGAACCCAATTTCAATAATGAAGTAAGTGCGGATTAATATCAACTAATCCATGAGATCTTGCCTTGTCTTAATTCAAGTTTCTCAACGATTAAAGATCGAGCTCCCCCACCTTTACTCACCCTTCGAAAGGTATGTCGAAAAAAATTAGGCTGTATTTATAACCTAGGCCAACCCTAGGCGCATAATATATAGCATCCAAGGTTAATCACAAATATTGTCTAGAGGCGTTGGAAAATATTGCACCACTAACTAATTCAACTCGATCAATCATACATGTGAGTCCCATTATGATATAAACCTAATTCCTATTGGCTTTCACTAACAAAAATTACCATTTACTCGACAAAGTTTTGCATGATGAACAATTTTCATTGGGCAAATAACTTTTATCCGATGGAATATAAACGTTTGTAGGGTAAAAAAGGTCAACGTTTGTAGGCAGAGGTTTTTGCCTGACGAATAGAGTTCGATGGGCAATGTTTCAGTCGTCGGGTGAAATTTTTACACGACAAACTATCCATGTTTCGTATGATTTAGGGTTTAAGATTTCTAATTCATAGGGCAAAATATACTATTTTGTCATGCAAATGGGAGGGATATGATTGGCATATTTAATTCCTTCGATTATTTTTGCAATCTGCAAAATTTAATTTCAACAATAATTCAACTGTCAAACCTATTTATATAGTTTATATATACTCCAAAATTGCATACGCCAAAAACAACATTTGGAGATTAGGTAACACAACAAATCCTTCGATGGTTAGAAACAAAAAATCATGATTCAAAGGTTATTTTAGCTCCAATTTAGACCTTTTTTTTGCAACTTCACTTCTCGACCCAAGAAGAATACAATGAACGAACCCAATCATCACTTTAAAATATTTACACTAGTGATACCACAAAATCTTCCCTTCTACTTAATGGAAGTATAGAATAAACTCTGTTTATTGGATCTATTATCTTGACGAGATATGCATACTATGAAACTAGTTTCAACGATCCAATTGTCAAGCTTGTTTGGATATGCCCCCAGATCGCATACACCAAATATTACCAATTGTTTATTTTGTGGATTAGGTAACGGGATAAAATTTTTTGATGGTTACAAACGTATCATCACAATTTAACGGTTATTTTAGCTTCGATTTTGATGATTTTTACAACTACACTCCTCGACCCTAGAAGAATACAACAAATGAACCCGATCATCAATTTAAAACTTTGACCATAAATACAAGTCAATATTAATGCATAACACTTTTGACTTCATGTCCATTTTAACCATATACACAACTACAATAATTTTATATCAAATTTACCAAACGGTGTGCCATTGGTGTTCGTACTTATTTTTGAATGTATAATTAAACGTTTAACTGTTTTCTTTAACAACTTATAATCTCAAAACACAACATAAACATGTTTTATAGTTAAATAAAACTACAATAATACCAAATTAACCCTTAGCCTTATTGAAATGTGAACTTTAGAACTGTAAATACAACAATGAACACATCTAGTCATTGTTGGGGAGAGAAATGAATCTAATAGAAAGAAATCCTTAGGGTTTTCAAGGTTTTGTTAGAGCCAAGGCTAAGGGAATAATCCATACAAAGAATCATGTTAAGAGTAGTCAAACTAAGCTTGACCCCATGGTCCCTTGCTGAACTCAGAAATTACATTTTAAACGTTTCGTAGGACCTTGTTATCTCCTTATCATTACTGCCAAAGGCTAATTAGTTCCTGGTCAAAAGATCTTCCAAATGACTCAATCAAGTTAATTAACTTTCTATATATTTCTTTGGACTCGGTTTCTCCCAGGTTGTCTCCATCTGTGATTAACTTCCTTATTATCATTAATATTAGAATTAATTTAAAGTTAAACTCCAGACGAAGTCATTGAAGAGGCTCTCCGTCGCGATCACTATTATATTTTTATCACCACCATATATATATTTATAGACAGAAACAAACCCATCCTTCTCATAATCTTCTATGTCAACAAGCATTGGGCTGAAACGACAACGTAGCTTACTGTTTTCACTTAACTCATTAATTATATATTTCATGCATGGATCATTCCTGATAACAAGTTGGACTTTGAATCATTGCCCCCTATTCCAACTACAATTAGTTTAAATGAAAACCCAAGTTAATTACCCCAAAAGCATTGTATAATTCATGTGTGCGTGTATATTCTTAATTAATTAAATTCTTGTTGTGAAGCTTTGGACGTAATTTTGTTTCTCAATCATCAAGCAAGAGTGCTTTCAATGCTTCTTGTTTGTTAGAAAAAGAAGTCGATGTTTCATAAAGTTTTTGAACATCTAGTGCAAGTCACTTGTCAGATAGATTTGAATGATCGAACGGAATATGACTTCTTAATTACACACACACACACACACACACACACAAAATAAACAAGCGGAAATGAAATACCTAGTTAATCTTGAAGTCCGTCTCAATGCATGTATTCAAACATTATTGAACTTTTTAACGTTATAATTGAATTTTGGTTTGGAAGATGAGCCCCATCAAAGATGATACAGTTGGAATTTCATGTAAAATTAGCTTACTGAAACACGAAAGACCAGACGTATTTTCTCTAGATTGACAACAAAATTTGAGGGATCTAATTAAGAAATTATACCTAGATTCGTGGTAATCATCCCCACACGTGCCATGCCCCGTGTGCAATATGTGTCTCGGCTTGACTAGTCAAAGAAAGACAGAACTTGGCACCATTTTCATACACAATTATTTATTTTATTTTTGTAACTCAATTTTTATTTTTTAATCAGAGTATTGCTATAGAGAGTACATATTTATACTATATTTTTGTACCATCTCCTTTGATAAGTAATGATACAACCAATGATCAATAAAATAAACTTATTAATTGACGTGGTATATGCACGTTACTTGTCACGTCAGATGGTACACATATGTGGTACAAAAATGTTATAATAATCTATAAATGTCTCATCACCATCCTCAAATGGTGATTACGCTGTCCACTATATTTATTGTCATTGGTGAGTTTAAATTTTGAGATTTCACTCGTCACCACGTTTTCCTCACCGTCTCATCCGCTCCACTGCTTACCACCTAAAACCTCACAACCTCCCATCTCCACGTTTCCTATCAGACCATCTATGGAAGTTGCAGCTGAACTCACTAATTGGTTATCATTTTCTTTCAAGTTTATTCACTTTTGGAAACATCGATAAGAGATTAAAGAGCAATGTTAGTAAGTTTATTCGAGATAAATGTTATGCATATTTGATGTTATCTTTCATTGAACATGGTTTTTTGAGTTCTAAGCATCATAAATATTGGAAGTTAAGTATTAACATGGTTTTTTGTTGTTGTTGAATTTAACATGGTTTTTTGAGTTTTGATTTCCCTGTAAATTGAAGATGTTTGATTGCAAGAAGTCATCATAAGTGATGATACAATTATATTTTATTCTGATTTTTATGTTTTTCGGCTTTGGCAAACATATTGTATTTTGGTTATATACAACTCATTTTAATCGTACCAAACTAAGAAGAAACTTAAGTTGCACTCGCATCGCTTGTGTTAGTTGCTAGTAATGATACTGACAATGATAATATAGGGTTCGTGCTTCTAAGATGATTGAAAGTTTTTGGTAAAAATATTTTTGAGTAAATTCTTAATAAAAATACAAGTAAAATTTAAAAAATGACTTGAAGTGCTTTTGGAATCCAAAAATATTTTTCCTAAAAGTGTTTTTAATCATTTTAAAAGCGCCTCCAACCCATGAACTACCTATTAACAAAATCCTCTTTGTCAACCAAAATATGGTGGAGAGAAAATTTGGTCTTAAACTACAAAATAAAATCATGAACAATAATGTATTTCTCACAAACCAAATTTTACTTTTCTTCCCCCTCACTCGCATGCCAAAAATATCATATCTCTAATTTTTTTTTTAAAAATAAAAAATAAATAAATATATACGTCTCTCCAATCCCACATTTTCTCTCACTCCCTCTACCTTTCATATTTCTCTCCAACTTCTCTCCCCTGAAGTTTTCCAAAAATAAAAAATAAATAAACTGCTTCACACACTAGTGTGGGCTTAGGCTAATAATGATATAATGACTTCCTTAACACAAGGTTAAGGTTGGACATTCTCCTCCAATATCATTTGTATATAAAAGTCAAACAAAAATTAAAATCCTAATGCAGGATTATACTTTGTATATATTAAAAAATTTGTTATCTAAACTACATATTATAGAACCCTCTTTGTCAACCAAAAGGGGATTAATAATTATTTAGTCTTCTATTACTAAAAATGATAATGGGCAGTAACGTAATTTCACAAGATCAAATTTTGCTGTTTTTTATTAAAACCTCACCTACATATAATTTTAGTACATATCTAATATTAAAAAATAAAAATAAAAAATCTCTCGTCCCACTCCCACTCTCACGTTCTCTTCTCCCCTTCTCCTTATTTTAAAATAAAAAATTAAAAAAATATTCACACACACAAAGTGCTAGTATATAAGTTATGTT